TTATAAAATTTTGCTTACAGAGAAGGCAGTAAATCAGTTGTATTTTACAACTGTCTTTCTAAATTACATTTTGTAGGCGTGACTAGGATTTTATGTCACATGCACATGAACTATACGACCGAACTGAAAGTATTTAGGACATTGATGGGCTAAGCAATTCCCAATGATATTATAAGGAATTCCTCATTCTTATACACTTACATTAAAATTGATAGAAGATAATTTTACCTTAAACTTTATAACATATTGTATAACATGCTAGAAATTATATAGAGAAATTGAGTACAGCTTCCTTTAAATTCTTTAATTAGAATAAAATATCCTTTAAGTGCCATAAAGTCCTACAGTAATGAAATGTCATCTATCTCTTTACTTTCTGGCAGGCTATGCTTAAATCATCCCTGATAGGTAAGAATGTTTCTGTTTTTAAAGATTTCCAGTGAAGAGATTATATAGCTTTAGTTGGCAATTGTTTTAAGTGTAATACCACTGTGAAAATCTCTGGAAAGTCTTATTTTATGTTTATCCTAAATCACTAATGATTTAGGGACTCATACAGGGAACTCTCAGTAATGTTCTCTAATGAAGAGAAAATTTCTCATAGATAATACAGACTTGGGTCATCTTCCTGCATCTTTCCTTTATTCCTGCAGGGAAATATCCTGACAAAGAAATAAGAAGTTGCAGAGGAGTGACAGGCAGGCTCTAGGAAGGTCTCAGGGGATAGAGTTGGCAAAATCACTTTTCTTTCCACCCTTTAATACCTTCTAAAATTTCATTCAGGAGTGAGATTGAAGGAAATGCTTAACTGAAAAATATCCTTTTCTTAGCCATTTCAAATCCTTTGTAGAAAGAACTAGAACATAAATAAATCTAAATAAATAAAAATAACCTTTATCTAAAAAATATGTTTTGTGGTAGATTCCTCAGTAAATGTTTGTTGAGCAAATAAGGAATCAAATTTTCTAACTGCCAGATTTTCTATAGAAATTTAGCCATAAATCAGCAAATGTTTATTGATATCCTGTATGTAAGGCACTGTGGTAAATACTATGGAAATTAAAAACAATCCCCTTTTTAAAAGTTTCCATTATACTTGGGGAAGTGTGTGTGTACATATATGTTATGTATGCTTACACACACATATAAATGATTAGCATTATAATAGAGAATTGCTTAAATTCTTAGAACATAAAATAAGTATCAAAGCTTTGATTTGAGAAGAGAGCTGTCTAGATTAAAATGAACTGGGAAGGAGGTATAGAAGGAAGAGGGTACCTGGGTGGCTCAGTCGGTTGAGCATTTGACTCTTGATTCCAGCTCAAGTCATGATCTCAGGTCATGAAGTCAAGCCCCATCAGGCTCCGTACTGGGTCTGCTGGAGGTTCTCTCTCTCTCCCTCTCCCTCCGCCCCTTTCCCTGCTTGTGTGCACTAGAACGTGTGTCCTCTCTCTGAAATGAATGAATGAATGAATGAATGAATGAATAAAATCTTTAAAAAAAAAAAAAAGAAGGGGGCAAAGGCGGAATCTTAAAGAATGGGCAGGATTTTAAAGGGAAATCTAAAAAAGAGGATACAGAAAATGACAAACATGAGCCTAAAAGTGTTACGTGTATGGTTAATGTGTGAGATAGTGAGAACCTAACCAAAGTGGAAGGTGGCTATTGGAGATAAGATTGGAAAGAGATATTACACAAAATTTTGGAGGATTTTGAATGCCAGCCTCAGGAATTTGGATTATTTTGTCCAATAGCAGAAAGCCACTGGAAGTTATTGCTTAAGAAAGCAAATTATTAATTTGCCCTCTCTCAAATTAATGAAAAAATAAAATCTTAAAAAGAAAAGAACTTGAGTTGTGATGGTAGCACTGTTACAGAAATGAAGAAAAGATGCAAGAGATATTGCAAAGGAAGAGTCTGTTTAGGGGCAAACTACATGTTGCATTTAAGAGAAAGTGAGAAATAGAGTTGAGGTGTTTAACTTAGGCAATGAGGGCAGAGATGTTGTCGATATAAAAATTGAGTAGCAAGATGAGAAGGAGGTTTTCAAGGAAATGCAAAAAGTTTGATATTAGGCATGTTAAATTTGAATAGAAGACTGAACCTTTAGGGAAGAAGTCAGAAATAATTTGTTAGGTTTTTAAGTGAATGTATAAATCTTTATATTCCTCGAATATCTAATACACAAACTCACACGTATATACTCTTCACTTCTTTATTCAACTAACATTTAGCAATTACCTGCCATGTTGCAATGTAGGAGAGTGGTTAAGAGCATAGAGCTTGAAACAAAAGGGCCCAGTTTTTGAATTCTGACTCTATAACTGGACTAGCTACATGACCTACCTTTATTTTTAAATTTCTCTGTTTTTAAATTTTCTCATATGTAAAACTGGGGATCTCATAGGGTTATCTTGAAAACTAAATAATTTAAATAAAACACGCAGAAGTGCCTGCACATAGTAAGCACTATGAAAGTGTTTGCTGTTATTATCACCGTCATCATCATCTTCGCTATTACTTGCCAAGCTCTATTGAGTACCAGATCCTAAGGATAACAAACTTGCTCACCATCCAGTGGGGGTTACAGAGCTTAATACACAACATATTTACACAGATTAAAAAGAACTGAAAGTTAATCATTTGCATCTTTGTGGTCTTAAATTTTGTGGAAAATTATTAGTGTCAAATAGTACTTGTCAGAAATTATTACTTTCATGTAAAATGTCATGGGTAAGTGAATAGTTTAGGTATCAAATTATGCAGTAAGTGTTTTCTGAGAAGGTCTTATATAAACTGAATGTTGGCTAACTTTATAAATGGGATCATTGTATCATCTTAATCTCAGTAGTACTCAAAGGTTGTTTCTCAGTAGCACTAATGTGCATAACTTTACCTTTAATTACATTTGGCCTAGAAGACTGGCCACTTCAGTCATTTTGCCTTTCTTCGCTTTGTTACATTAATGTTGAGGTGCAGCAGTAATTTTAAGCTACACAAGGTACTTGAAAGTAAGCACAGTAATTTATTCTACGTTATTATTACCACCAGAAGAAAGCGAAGGTAAAACATTTGGGTTTGTCTGTCACAGAATCAATGATAGATACTCAGTGTCCTCATAAACTGTGCCCTGTATGGATGAAGCCATTTCCCTCTTCGTTCTGTTATGGCAATAATTATGTGTTTACCACCATATACCTTGTACTTGGCACATAGTGTTCAGTAAATATTTGTGGAATTGATTTTGTGGATGACATTTTTTATTCTCTCCTATATATTTATAAAAATTGCTTGCTGATTTTAACAATTATTCGTACACATATAGGTCACTTAAGGGGCTTACCAAGTTTTTAGGCTGTGCAGCTCATTTGGAAAAAATTCAGAGCTGAAGTTATTTTAGAAGTGTTAATCTGTTGATTTATTTAAGAAGCAGAAGATCAAAGGATAAAAAACCAATCCTGAATTAACTGGGTATTTTAATACTCAGAAATTTGATCTTTTTAAAAATTATTTTTAAGACTATATTGTTTCTGGGACGCCTCAGTCAATTAAGCATCTGCCTTCGGCTCAGGTCATGATCCCAGGGTCCTGGGATCGAGTCCCACATCAGGCTCCTTGCTCTGCAGGGAGGCTGCTTCTCCCTCTGCCTGCCACTCCCCCTGCTTGTGCTCTCTGTCTCGCTCTCTGACAAATAAATAAAATCTTTAAGGAAAAAAAAAGACTATATTGTTTCTGCATCTAACCTGAGACTCTTGAAATTCTTTGGCCAAAAGCAAGATGCGCTTATATGTTGGGGGAAAAAAAAAAAGAGGAAGAGGAAAAAGAAGACAGCCAGCTCTATGCATAAGATAAATCCAGCTATTAAAGCATAAAGGATATGAATGTATAAAATATAACTCATATACAACCAAAACATAAATACCAATTCTGAATATACTACACTGAAATGATGTTGGAGTGATTAATATTACCTTAAATTTCCAAAAATTGAGTTCCTCTAAGAAGCACTCTATATGAATCTTAAAAATGCATACTATAGCTAAGAATCACAATAGCTTATGAGATTTTATAATAACAAATACTTTATCTGTTTAATACAAATATATGATCATTTTAATGCCAAATAATTCCTCAAGATAATACTGAAAACACTTAAGTACTTTTAGAATATATGTGTGTGTGTGTTTTGGGGGTTTTTGGTGTGGTGGTAAAATATATATAAAATTTAACATTTTTATAGTTGTGATAAAATACACATGAGATTTACCATCTTAATCATTTTTAAGTGTACAGTTCAGTAGTGTCCAGTGTATTCACAGTATACAGCTAATCTCCAGAATACATGTGCATTTTATAAAGAAATAAATGAGTCCTAATTCTTAATCACAGGAAACAAACTGAGGGTTGCTGGATGGGGGGTGGGGTGGGAGGGATGGGGTGACTGGGTGATAGACACTGGGGAGGGTATGTGCTCTGGTAAGCGCTGTGAATTGTGCAAGACTGTTGAATCTCAGATCTGTACCTCTGAAACAAATAATGCAATATATGTTAAGAAAAAAAAAAGAAGAAGGTAGCAGGAGGGGAAGAATGAAGGGGGGGGGAAATCGGAGGGGTAGACGAACCATGAGAGATGATGGACTCTGAAAAACAAACTGAGGGTTCTAGAGGGGAGGGGGGTGGGAGGATGGGTTAGCCTGGTGGTGGGTATTGAGGAGGGCACGTTCTGCATGGAGCACTGGGTGTTATGCACAAACAATGAATCATGGAACACTTCATCTAAAACTAATGATGTAATGTATGGGGATTAACATAAGAAAAAAAAAAAAGAAATGAGTCCTTTAAAATATGGTCTATTGAAAAGAGACTTTGTTTTACACATAAGGTATTTTTGTTTAAAACATGAACAGAACATATATCTCACTAAAAAAGATTCTATTTTGTTAGATTTTTGAACAATGATATTAATGGCTTGGGTGGGGGGACTGTCTCTTGATTAATAGGAGTGAGCTGAGTCGACAGAAACTTCATACCCAAGAGCTGCTTTCTCAGCTGGAAATGGCAAATGAAAAGGTAGTTGAGGTAAGATAATGACTCTCCCGGGAAGTACTTTCTGCTGCAGCTTGATACACATTTTTTCTGAATTTTATCTGAGCCAACTCCAAATTAATTCTCTACTTGGAAGTGACCATACAGAGGTGAGTACTCCTTGTAGAGAAATCATCCATAACCCTAAAATCCACATTTTATAATGTGAATAAAAACTTTGAAAGTCAGTGATTCATCATATGTAAATGACAAAAGGTAGAGCTCCTATTTCAGTTTCCCCAATATAACTTGTGCCGTGTTGCAGAAAATGTGTTAAGATCCCCTTCATTTCTAAGCATGTCTAAGATTATATTTTTTAGCCCTTTCCTCTTATTTTGTTTTAATTCAACACATAAGAAATGTAGAAATTACCTTTGCCTACTGGAATATATTAAAGTACTTCTTCAGATTAATGCTTTAGAACTAAATGCAGCAAGAGCTCATCATTTTTCTCTTTGAATCTTTAAAAAAGTTAACAATGTCTAGATTATGATTAGAGCTTTCTAGAACTCTAGTTCTTCGTTTGATGTTCTAACTTCGAATGTGTTTGTTGGAATTTCATTAATACACTATATGGTCGGCTATATTTTTGTGGCCATCTATAGAAGCCATAACGAAATTACTCTTAAGTTTCAAAGCATTATAAATTGATATGAGCCATTTAGAATACAAACAATAGCCATTAAAATACTTGTTGTTTTCAAAACTTCCAGGAATCTGTACTTAAGGAAATAATTTAAAATATGAAAAAATTTAAAGGCAGATATTCAACACAATAATGTTAATAATATTAGAAGATCAAAAGCAACCAAAATGATCAGTTGAAAAAGAACAGTTGCATATATTATGATTTACCTAACCTGGACTGTTTCTTAACCATTATGGTGGTAGCACAGAAAAATGCATATTGTATGTAATCTGATGGTACCTATGAAAGTGATTATTATAGATGATGTGATTTTACCCCCAGGTTTTCTCTAGTGTTAATGATGCACCTTTTAAATTTAAGACTACGTATTTAAATATCTTGGTAAATTGAAACAGCCAGTGTAGTTCTCTTCATAAAATTTAATTTTGCTTTTGGGCACAATAAAAAATATAATCTCATTTTAGCAGTATATTGTTATTTCAGTATTTTATATTACTAGGCATGACATTCACCATTATCACTTATATGTTAGGCTGGGAACTATCTAGTTCTTCATAGAAAGTCTGTTTTTCTTGCTATTCCTGATTAGACTGATGTTACTCTCTCAATTCAGACAAGTGCCAGAAAACCACATAATAATTCTAGTTGTACAGAAACTTTTTTTTTCAGGCTAGTAAGTATGGAAAGGACAAATACATTTTATAATTGGTAGTTTCTTTGAACTTGTCTGCATGACAGTATGTTGTGACAGATTTATATTCATAATGTCCATATAGTTTCCTAAGACTACTCTAACAAAGTATTATGAACTTGGTGATTTAAACAACAGAAATTTACTGTCTCACAATTCTGGAGGCCAGAAGTCCAAATCAAGTCAGCAAGATTAGTCCCCTCTGAGGGAAAACCTATTCTATGCCTCTCTCCTAGTTTCTGGTGGCTTCATGCGTTCCTTGGTTTGTAGATGGTATTTTCCATGTGTATTCATGTGGTCTTCCCTTTGTCCATGTCAGTCTCTGTGTCCAAATTTCCCCTCTTTATGAAGGTACTAGGCGTATTGGATTAGGATCCACCCTAAAACCTCATCTTACCTTAATTATCAGAAAAGACCCTATTTCCAAATAAGATCACATTCATAAGTACTGGGGTTTAAGACTTCAACATCCTTTTTTAGGGACATAATTCAGTCCATACCAATGCCATATTTGTTGATGATCCTAATATCCTCTAGAGTATACAAATGTATTGGGGAGCATGTAGAAACAGAGTTCTTCCCCCTTTTAAGTAACATCTTTAACATATAAATCGTTTAAGACAAGTCTATCTTTTTAAAAATCAAGACTTCTAGAATGAATATTTTCTGTTCTTTGCACTTTAATAGTGGCAACGTCACAATTTCTCTAGAAGCTTGCTTTCACATGGTAGTTCTGAATCACTAGCAAACAACATCAACACCACCTAAGAACTCAGTAGGAGTGCCGATTCTCAAAATTCATCCCATCCTACTGAAGCTCTGGTTGTGTTTTCATATTCCAGGTGATTCTGAAGCAGTGATCTAGCATCTCAAGGTTAATATCAAATATTTTAAAAATATATATTGAAAATCTTGGTCTTCTGATTCACTTTGATTTTAGATTTAATTCACTTTCTTTGGTAACATGTGGAGGGGAAAAAATAATGTAGTCAAAGTGTGAAACCAATTTTGAACTTTGAAATTAATAATTTGAAAAAATATAAATTTGGAGCTATATTATCTTTGTGTTTTATAAGAAGTAAAATGATATTCAAATTTTTCATTGATTATTCCACAAAACCTTTCTGTGTCACATATGGATTTCTAACTTGTTTGTTTGTATTTCCCCATAACAGAATGAGAAACTAATTCTAGAGCATCAAGAAAAAGCCAACAGACTTCAAAGGCGTCTAAGTCAGGCGGAACAGAGAGCGGCTTCAGTTTCCCAGCAGGTAGGGAGCTTCCTCATTATCCCTGAGAGTAAATAGTCTGAGTAGATCAAAAGATAAGAACAGTTCCTCAAAAGTTCCTAGAGAACTAGTAGTTTTATTTTTACTTGATTAAACTATTTATAAGTAGTCTCTTTAATATTTGAGGTTGAAAAAGTAAACTTTAAAAACAGAAATAAACACGAGTCTCCTAAATTGACACCTAAATCTAGAACTGTGCTGTCCAATATGATAGCCACTAGCCATAAGCAGCAGTTTAAATTTAAATTAATTATTAAAATTAAGTAAACTAAAATTTGAAATCCTCATTACACTGGCTGGGTTTCTTTTTTTTTTTTTAAGATTTATTTATTTGAGAGAGAGAGAGTACACGTGCAAGTGAGGGAAGGAGCAGAGGGAGAAGGAGAGAATCTCAAGCAGACTCCATGCTGAGTGCAGAGCCCAATGCAGGGCTCAATCCTACGACCCAGAGATCATGACCTGAGCCAAAACCAAGAGTCAGATGCGTAACCGAATGGGAGCCACCCAGATGCCCCGCACTGGCTGCCTTTCAAGTGCTCAGTAGCCATATGTAATTATGATCCTCATATTGGACAGCATAAATAGAACTCTATGATCACAAAAAGTTCTTTTGGACAGCACTGCTCTAAAATTTTATTCTGTCTAGGCATGATCACTGACAGATTTGGAAGTAGAAAACATTGCTTTGAATGCAATATTTCTAATTGCACTTTGTTTTTATTGTAGTTTTTTAAATGGAAAAAATGACTTATAGGTTAAGTTCATTTAATGCACATTTGTATATAACCATATAAATCTAAAATACTGTATAAAAGTTGTCCAATGGGAAATAGAGTAGAAAATGCAGAACATCAATAAAATACTAGGGGGTAATTACTCATACACACTTCATATAAAGAAAATGGGCCATTTACTTAAAGTGGGAGCAATAGTTCCTCCTCCCTCCTATTAGGAACAATGTGAGATCGTCTGGCGATTATAAAGATAGGCTGGAAGCAGTTTAGATGGATAGATCTAGATAGGCAGGCAAAGAAACCATGTTACTACCTTATTAAATATGTTTGGTTATAAATGTACTGTTTCAATCAAAATTAATATTATGCATAGATAGAAGAGTATTTCATACATACTACAGCAGCTCTAAATACTCACTGATTTCAGTTTATGTATGTGATATTTATAGATTTTTTTGAAATCTACTTCTGATATGAACAATGCATGGCACTTAAAGAAAATCTGGTAATTTGCCCTTCTGTTCCCCTCCCCTCTTGAAAGTAATTATAGCTTTATCAAATAAATTTAATTTCTTATTAAATTATGAATTAATAGATTAAGTAGTTTATCATTCAAGAAAGCATTCATTCATTTAGATTATAAGTTAACAGGAGCCAAGGTATACTGGGAAGTATCTTAAGAGTGTGTCAGGCACATAGCCTGGTGCCATTAAGTAGCCATGTGATTTGGGGCAATTTCAACTTTTCTAAGCCTCAGTGTCTTCATATTTGATGTAGAATAATAACACCTCCCTTACAGAGTTACTGAAAAATCAAAGGAATTAACACATATAAGCATTTAGTATAATCATTAAGTGGTTAGTAAATACTTAGTTATATAAGAAGTTAAATCTCTACATCACAGTCCTAAGAGCTTCAAGTTTACCTTTTTTAAGGAATATGGTAAAGAAAATGCCTACGTAAAATCAACAACCTTGAGTTCTATAGTAAAAAGAGTACAGTTATAGAACCTTAATTAGATAATCCAGTTGGCATCTCGTTTAGTCTTCCTCCTGACAGAATTAAACCCAAGCAGCCCAACACAGATGTTTTTCTCCTGTTACTTAAACTCTCTAATGACAAAGATTTCACCCTTCTCTTTGTGCGCTTTTTTTTTTTAATGCTGTGTCAGTAACCACTTTGGAGTTTTTTCCTTAAGCTTTTCTCCTTCCATCCTGTTTTCATTGAAGATGAAAAGTAGTCATTCAGCATTGTCCCTATCCACAAAAAGGAATTATTCCCTGGAGTGGAGTTAATATTTTTTCTCTTTTAAATGAGTCCAAGTTATAAACTTTTTGTATTAGACATATATTCAGTTTTTAAAAATCTTTGTCTTTGCTTTCTCTGAATTCTTCCTATTTTCCCATCTTCCTCTAAAAACTAGAAACTGTTATTAGAAAGACTATCCTAGTAAAGGCCTGATACTTAATGAAACAAAGGATTGGAGTTAGAAGATTATTATTTCCTCTAACATGCAGCCCAGCATCATACACAAGCCCTGCATTGTACCGAGTCTTCCATGCTCTGAATGTGCTATTCTGATCAACTTTCTCTGTACATTCTTCATCCATCTTTGGACTATGGTTGTATGTTCTAAGTGTATTAGTCTAAACTACTAAAAGCCATACTGCGTTCTTTTAACACTAAAATCAGTGTGGTGAAGCCTTTCTATGCAAGAACACAAAACCTAGGAACTATGGAAAGAAATTAATAAATGTGAACAGGTAAAATTTCAGATATCTGCATTTTAAAGTCATAAAATCAATGACAAACTGAGAAAAAATATCTGCAATACTGTGACAAAAGTAATATCCTTAACATATATGTAAAGAATGGCTAGGGCGCCTGGGTGGCTCAGTTGGTTAAGCGACTGCCTTCGGCTCAGGTCATGATCCCAGGGTCCTGGGATCGAGTCCCACATCGGGCTCCCTGCTCGGCGGGAAGCCTGCTTCTCCCTCTCCCACTCCCCCTGCTTGTGTTCCCTCTCTCGCTGTGTCTCTCTCTGTCAAATAAATAAATAAAATCTAAAAAAAAAAAGAATGGCTAAATCAACAAAAAAAGTGCAACAGTACAATAGACAAAGAATAAAACTTACAGAAAAGGAAAGACAGATGGCTTTTAAATATTTGAAAAGATGGGCTCATCCTGATCCATAAGACAAATACAAGCTTAAACCGTAATCACATATCATTTTTCACCATTTCACAATCATGTCAGATCATGAAGTTTGATGATACATTATGCTGGCACTTCCACACATCACTGATGTAAATGTGTGTTGGTGCAATCTCTTTGGAGCCCAATTTGGCAGTATCTCTCAAAAAATTTTGATGTACATCACCTTTGACCCAGTCGTGCTAAGAATTTATTCTGCAGGTGGTGTACTTGGACCTGGGCAAGTCTGTGCAGGGAAGCGTGTCAAAATACTAATTGCAGCATTGCCTATAATTTTAAAAGATTAAAAGCCACCTAAATGCCCATCCATAGAAAACCAGTTAAATTATGGAGTATCCATACAAGGAAAGTTTGCTGCTGTTAAGGGGAATAAAGTAGGTCTCACATGGAGACATTTGTAAAGTAGATCATTTAGAAGGAAAAAACCAAGATGAAAAGTGTGTAGAGTACTTTATCATTTTTTAAATAAAAAGAGGTGAGGAAATACATGCATCTATTCTCATTTAGAATTTATTTCTAGAAATATACTTAGAAAATGGAAACAATGATTGTATCTGGAAAGAGGGCTAGGAATGAAGGACAGTGGTGAGAAGGCTTCTTTATGATGTATACTCTATTGTACTGTTAGATTTGTATATATAATATCAACTCCAATTGATATTTGAAGACTGTTTACCTATTAGAGCTTTCTTACTATGATCTATCATCATCTTATTAACCAGTCTTGTGTTGTGCTGGCTCACACTTAATTTGTATTTTACTCACTTTTCTAGTTAACTTTTTATCTAGATGTTTTTCATCCATCTGTGAAATATGTTTTGGAATTCTAAGTACTGTATATCACTCTGAGCTATGGAATGTCATATTTGACATGCATATCTCTAGTGTAATACAGGTATTTTAAAGTCTCAAGAGTAAAACAGACATGAACACCAAAAATGACCTCTTACAGGACCCTCTCCAGTAAGATTATTTTCAATAATTGTAAGTTGTGATGCATTATACTTTGTATTAGTGTAAGATTTTCCATAGAAAAAGTAACTATTTACTGATTGTCTATTTTAATTGCAGCTCAGTGTGATTACAGTGCAGAGAAGAAAAGCAGCCTCCATGATGAATCTGGAAAATATTTAAAAATGTTCATAGTTCACTCACAGAACTTTAGAATTGGGAAAGCTGTTGGACTAGAAGTGTATTGAAATGGTAAAAACCTGCAGAGAATGGTTAAGGCTTGTGTCATTTTGCATAGGCATTTTCCATTCTGTTTTGAGGGTTATTGGAAAACAGAACAGTGGCAGCTTCCTGTAAGTAAAGAAAATATAACCCTATATTGAGCTTCAGTGGAGAAAAAAGCCAGCTGAGAAGAATTCATTGCCTTCATCAACGTATCTGTTTTTCAATTCCCCCTTCCTTCCCTTGGAAGAGCATAATAATTTTCAAACTATACTAATCATGGGAAAGAGATTTTTAAGATAATGTTAGAATTTTAATATTTCAGGTTCCATGATTTGAGAATTTTACATCTAATTGTTACTCCTAACTCATTTTAAGTTCCCAAGTATCCATTTTATTATAAACTCATAAATGTAATAAATTATGTACTTTCTAAAATGATGCTGTCATGTATTTTAATGTATAATTGTAGTGATTCATTTTTAATTTACATGATTTCCAGTATTTATCATATATTGATATTTAAGAATATGGGAGGTTTTGTTTTTTGTTTTTGCTCTGTTACTCAAAGCAGTACTAATCAAGTGGAATCTTCAAGTCTGAGAATGCATGGGCATTGAACTATTGCAGTCTAGTTGATTTTCACAGATCCATGTAGTTAGCTCCTCTCTGCTCCTAGTTTGAACTTGGGACACCTGCTTTCTGCTGATGAGTGCAGATAAATGCGCATCTGGTTAACAAGTTAGGAAACTATTGCAGTGGTCCAGATAAAAGATAATGAATTGAGTTTGAAGTGACATGAAAACATTCATGTGCAAATATTCAAGCAGCTGTCAGAAGCTTAGGACTGGTGCTAGCAAACCAGGATAGGAAGGGAGTCTTTGGCACGGGACTGAGAATTGAAGCCATGGAGTATAGGAGCTTGCCTGGAGGCTTCCTGTGATGTGGCTGACTACCTCTTCCCCTCATTTCTTGTGCTGCAGCTCTGATGGTGGCCTTCTGCTTCCGTCAGTACGTCATCCTTCCTCCCCACAGGATCTCCGTGCCTCTCTTGCCATCCGCACGTTCTTCAGATCACCACTGCTCAGACATCCCTGCCTCAGAGAGCCTTCCAGCCTCCAGACTAGGTTAGGTCCCCTTGTATTTCTCATAACAGTGTGCTGGATTTTTGATTCATAGCACTTGGGAGAATTTGTAATTAACTCTTTTTGCATTTTTTCTTCAATGTCATCAGTCTGCAGACTCCTTGAGAACAAGACCCATGTCTGCTCTCCTTCCTTGTATTCTTAGCAACTCAACATAGTTTCTGGCACACAGAGGGTATTGAATAACTGTTTTATTCAGAAACTGAAAAAGAATTTTTAAGGACAGGACCTTAGAAAATGTCTTCATTTTGTTGTATGAGTTCAGGGAGAGGAATCCTTGAAGGAGACTGAACAGGAGCAGTGAGAAGGCTGTAGCCAAGAGAATCCAAGATGACAAAAACTAAAGGAGGCAGGGATTCTGATCTTATGTGTAGGAGGGGACAAATGGTTCCCAGTGTCAAATGCCGTGATGAGATGAAATAATACAAATATGATATTTAAATGATAATTAGGCACTTAGCTTACTTTCGTTTCCTAAGAATTTTTCATTTGATTGATTCTCTAATGTAAATTTCTTCCCATGTCATTCGCAGACTAATTTCCATGTAATAAGAGTTATGTTCATATTCATGTTTATAGAATATAAAATTTATTTTTAAAAACTTTTAATTAGAGAAGATGTTAGAATTATATCGTACCAAAAAAAAAATGAGACTGGAGGAGGAAGCACTTCAGAAACTAACATCATAGACAAATGGAAAGTATGATTATTGTCCTTTTTCAAGAAGAAAATCTAACTTCCCAGACTCATTTCTTCAAGGTAAATCTTTCAGCATAAGCACTTTCTCTGAACTTTGGCCGTAGGCACCTACTCTTTACATTTGAATATTGATAACCCTCTCTCCAGTTGGATCTCCTTGAATACTTAGACAGTCTCCAAGTAAAGGATAGGCTACTGACAGGCAGATGATAGGCCTTTCTTACCTCTGCTGAATTTGAACAGACTTAAGCTGTGTTTACCAACAGAACTGAACATACATGTTATTTTTCTTTCAGAGAAGTTTGTTAGCTAATGATTTCCAATGTAAAAATGTAGTGGAGTTTTTGACTTTTCTTATATTGATTGGTCAGTCTTGCCTTCATTTACAAAGAGTATAGCATCATTTTTCTGTGAACTGTATTTTAGGAGACAGGGGAAATGAATAGGAAAAAGAAAAGAAATGATGTAAATCTGAAATTGAAGACAACACAGCCAGTTCATTTTATTTATTCATGTTTCTTTATTTGTGTCTCCCTGAAGAAGAAAAGAGATATGATTACCTCTTCTTCCCTTTGTATACAAATATGCAAATTGGGGCAGCCAACAATCTTCTAATTTCTCCTCTGGTGTGATCACTGTAACTACCCCAAATATGGGAGAACATTAGCAACAATTCAGTCATTCGTTTATTCAGCAAATATGAATATTTCATAGCTGCACAGTCTGCCAAGCCAACTCTCAGACAAATCAAGGAAGAATGAAAAAATACTTCAAACATTTTGGTATAAATTCTGTTCTTTAACCATAATGTATTTTATCAATTTTTCCAAAATAGCAAATCTGTAATGGGCTTTTTTACAAACATTTTAATCAAAAATAATTAGGGTTTTTTTTAGTTTATTTAAAAATGTACATATAAAAGGGATATGTGCACAGAGAGGAGACAGACACAGCAGTACCCCAGTGTTATGTATGAAATCTGTCCCTTACCAGCCCTTCAGACTTGTTCAAATGTGTGCCTCTGGGGCAGTGTTAACTGTCTTATCTTAGTATTTATATAGAAACTAAATATGTATCTACTTAAATAACAAAAATCATAGGATGGGTGGGAAAGCATCTTTAATTTTTTTCAACACTGGCGCTCACCCAGCTACCAAGGAAACAATCTACACTAAGGAAGTGGTCTTGTAGCCCAAGAGTTCAGCACAAAACATGCTCATGTGCCCCACTTTCCTGTAGACACTCCCATGTACTAGCTCTAACACCACTCTTGTTTCTGCCACTCAAAACGTAGACTGGAATGTAAGCATATGAGAATAACATTATGGAACTTTGAATCTTCACTAGTTTATTTCTTTCTAAATACACATTCTTAAAGTTCACTATTTTTAGAAAACAAATTACTGCTGTTATTGGGCACCGCTGTTGAAATTCACTGGGGTGGAGGGGATGGGGGTACTCTCCTGGAGCTGGCCCAGTCCACTTTACAACAATTTTGACCATTAGAAAGTTCTTCCTTACATCAAACTGAGATGTGTCTTTCTGCCTTAGTTCTACCTTGTGCAACAGAGTCTAAGCCATCTTACATGTGGCAGGTCTTTGGCCTTTTGAAAATAATCATCACGTTCTCCCTGCACTTAGTAGACATCTACATTTCCTCAGAGGACTTGGTTTTGAGTCCTTTTGCCAACCAGGCACTGGCCTCTGAAAGTCCTCCAATCATCTTCATATATCCTGCTTCATTCATCCAATAAATACTTATGAGCACCTGCTTTACACCAGGTATGCTTACGATGCATCAGTCTTATGCCCAAAACCAAAAATTATATTCAGGGTGAAAAAAACTATTCCCTTGTTCTAGATCATGACAGAGAGGTGGGGAGAGAGTAAGTGGTAGCTACCTGAGTGGGGAAGACGATGTATTAGAATCCCCAGGGCAAGGGTATGGTTCAAACTACATACTCTTCCCCTTTTCCCAACCCCAAGAACAGTCTGACATAGTCTCTTAGGGAAGCATGCTTTGGGAGTTTACTATAGTTAGTGATTCATGGAAATGTACACATAATTTCTCATTAGTATTTGGAATGAGAAAAAAGAAAATTACAATTCTAGAGTGTGCACTTCCATTAATGCAGCTTAAAATCATGTTCACTTTTTTGGAATTTGAATTTCACTGTTGGAGATATTGAGCATATTGTTGACTCAAATCTTAAAGTCTTTTCCAGAGGTTTTGTTGCTAAGCCGTATCTTTGCCCCAGAAGCCAGACTGGTCATCCATCCCTTTTAAATTTTATTATGTCATTACAGGGTGCTGCTGAGGTCCTTTTAGCTCCAATTCTGTCATCCAGTTTTTTTACTTATAAGCCTAGGGACCGTGTCTGCTTTATTTTGTTTTAGTGCTATGTTTCTTGTACCATTGACAACTTTTTATTTATAGCGATGCCATCTATCAATCTGGTAAACATACCACCCATATTTTCATGATAAGCATGAGAAAGATAAGACCTTGACAGATGTGAGTACAGTTGGTCTCTTAGAACACACCACCCACCAGCTCCCATAATGGATAATTAATCAGGACCCATGGGTCCTGGTCATTTCAGCCCGTTTTTAATCTGGCCCATTTACTGCTGCTTCACCATCACAAAAGCATCAAGGAAGACCCACCATTCTGTCCAGCACAAGGTCCTTTATGCCACAACTGTCATACTTTTCAGATCTAATCTAGTGATCCTGTCCAAGAAGAAAATGTAGTCAGATTTCTTTTTTTAGGATTTATTTATTTATTTGAGAGAGAGGGAGAGAAGTAGACTCCATGCTGAGCGCAGAGCCCCACTCGGGGCTGAGACTATGACCTGAGCCAAAATCAAGAGTCAGCCACTCAACCGACTGAGCCACCTGGGTGCCCCCAGATAGATTTCTTTTTAGTAGATCCATGTAACAACCTAGTAATCACTGAGGTTTTTTTATGTTTATTTAAAACCCTTGAAGCTTTTAATATAGCATCATGGAAATTTTCATTCAATATTTTCATCCTATTTTCAAAGAATTAAAAAAAATCAGAGCAAAATGTGATGCATAGAAAATCTGTTAGCACTAAGATTTGTGAAAATTAAAAATATGAGACTAGCATCTCCTTTCATATAAACTATAGGAGATAAAAGAGAATGGGAAAAGTTATAATCATGTTTCTACCAGTAACCAAAAGAATGCATTGGGGAATCTTTTCCTGGATCTACAGTGATCATGCTGATCTGTATGACTACTGTCTCTTTATTGAGCACCTGTCATATGTAAGATAGATGCTGGCATTTTGCATTTATTACCTCTTACAATTCAGCAGACCTGCTGGTTAGGTTTTATCCTTCCCTTTCCAAAGATATAAGGTATTATAAAAGTTAAGCAACTTGCCTCAACTAGTCCTAAGTACTCAAAGTAAAAAAATGCCTTTCAAACATCATGTTGAATACCATGCTTGTTTTAACACAGGAAATCATACAATAGGATATCAACCACTTTACAATTGTTAAACACAATTTAACATAGTTACAATTTTTTGGTAAATATACTTTTTTTGGGTGAAATTGTTACCACTCCCTAAAGAAATCTGAAAACCTTCAAAAGAGGTTATTCTAACTTCCTTTGCTTAGATCTCCGTTTTCCACTAAAGTTACTTGACTTTTTAGGTTATGGCCAGTTTCTTTTCAAGGTTTGAAAAAATTACCAAATCCCACTAGGTAGGAAGATGCTTTTCCTAAGTTTTCTATGTAATGCAATCTCTTTTGAAGATTTCCAGATTTCTTGAATGAGTGGTAACAATTTCACCAAAAAAGTGTCATATGTATCCAAAAGTCATAAATAAGTTTAGCAATTATAAAGTAGTTGATAAAATATTGTATAATTTCTTATGTCAAAACAAGCATAGTATTTTAAAGCATGATGTTTGAGAAGTATATTTACTCACTTTGAGTTAAGTACTTGGGACTAGTTGAGGCAAAGATATGATCACAGGGATTTAATCTGAAAAAGAGAAGCTCAAACAATTAAACAGGAAAGCTGGAGCAGAGCCATAATTAGCGAGCGAAGAAGGAAAGCGCCCTTTGAGGCTGCTACATGGGGGAGGGAAACACCAGAGAAAAAGATTTGCTTCATAAAGAAATTGTATCACACTGGTAATAATCCTGAAATTAGAACCATCAGCCAGATTAGTGGGTAAAATAACCATAATTAACCCGTAATTATAAATGCACTATTTCAAACAGCCATATGTAAGCCAAGCAGTAGTGAGAATATCAGGAATACACTAGTGATACATTAGGAATGACACGTTTTTCTTTTATCTTTGCTATTTAATTTGGCATTGCTTGATCTATTCATTTCTACACTTGATCTTAGCCAAAAGACTGAGAAGTGACGACTTATTTCTAAAAACTAACCAGACTTATTGTACTTTATATCACAAAAATATTGAAGGTTTTGCATAGCATCAGTCTAAAGTCTGAAGACATTAGTCTTAATTCTGGATTCATCATCAAGAAACTATGTAATTTTAAATAATTCTCTTTAACTCTCCAAACCGTGTGTTAGGGCATCAGGAGAATTAAGTTTCTGATGGCAGTGTTATTTTCCTGGATCCTATATGCATATATTTTATCTGTAAATATGTGTGTGTGTTACATAAATGTATATGAAATGAAACCAATTCCATTCCCCCTAGAAGGCAGGGACTGACCACAAGCCGATCATGTTGCTCATTATCCATTAGGTTATGTCCAGTCATTCAACTGGTACATGAACATAATGTTTTAAGCCAACATTATTAGCTTTACTTTATAGAAATTCATTAAAGTTCATATGTATAATCCTCAGTATACTCAAGAACACACGAACTATTTGATGTGAACTATTTTTATATTCTGAGAGGCAGTAGAGCCCAGGGAATTCAGTTGCAGCCTGGCTGAGATTAACTCCCAGCTCTTCCACCAACTGACCTTGAGCAAACGACTCCATTTCTATGCCTGTTTCCTCATCTGCGAATTAGATAGTGGTGCCCACCTCACATTGTGAGGGTTAAGCAAATTAAACAAATATTAATGCATAAAATACAGACCAGTGTCTGCCATTTGATAAACCCTTGTAATTATCTTCAGAAGTCTGAAGGGTCCCCCGAAGGCTAAGCGGAATGACAGAATCATTTTTATTGCAGGTTTTCACTACAGAGATTGCATTGTCAAGGCTGTAGCTACTGGGGGCGGGGAGAGGGAGGTATAAATTTCAGCAAGACTTGAGCCAAGGAAACAGGGAAAAAGGCTGCTGCTATAATCCAGGCAAGAAATGATGAGGCTTGAACTACATGGCAGGTGGTAATGGGATTGAGAATAGTGAAAAAAACTGAAGTGTGATACAGAGACCTGGCTCACCATGTGGCTGTGGGAGTTAAAGGACAGACTCACAGAGGACTCCCAGGTTTCAGGCGTGGATGACATTCTCTAAGGCAGGACAGGGAAGAGGACGAGCTCCACAGTCTCCAGCGCCTGCGTACAACCAGGAGGAAATGCCCAGTAAGCAGCCCATGAGAACTCAGGAAGAGCTGGATGGCACAGACCTCAAACTATGCAGCAGACAGTAGCTGAAGTCAAGCAAGTTGATACTTTTCAATGACCAGGCAATCTTCTCTTCTACCCCAGACTAGAACACATCATCTAATGCAGTTCTGAGCATTAAAGGGAAATCATATTGAAGATTTCAACCTTGAAGTTAATTGCAAAGTTTGCTGCAGATGGCTAATGTTTCAAAGGTAAAATCTGTTTTCTAAGTGATCTGGGTAAAAACATGAACACGAGTCCCTGGTGCCACATTTCCCATGACATATTGCAGAACTGCCAATGATAGGCCCTTCCTTGGGCTCCTGGGGGCTTAACTTCCCCGGGGAACTATTGTGGTTATTCAACTTAAGACCTTGCAGGAAGAACCACAGTTATTTCTCTCTGGGGTCTTACTCAGAGCAAGCAACATGGAAGTAAGTAGTCACTGAGGAGGAACAAGGAGAAATAAACAAGCTTTTAGCCAAATGTATGAACAATTCATGTTTAAAAAAAAAAAACTGGCCAAGATTTTACAAAAATTATAAATTAGGGACAGTAACACCACCCTGTTGTGGCTCATAATCTACAAGAGAATGCAGACTGTAAACCCATAGCAGCTTTGCTGTTCCCACCTTAAAGGAAGGTGTGTTTCATTCTATGCTAATTTCTGCCTGTAGTGGTTAAATAAAGACTGTTTCAGGCCAGGAAAACAAAACCAGAAATTAGAACTAGAGTCTAGGCCCGGTTCTGCCAATGCTTATTGTTGTAATCTTGGACCTACCTCCTTTGTGAAACACAGAGATCTCTTCTTTGTCCTAGTGTTGCAGAATTCTGTTATCAAAAGACAGCATTTAATGAAACTACCCTTTGAAAAATTATTTCTGAAGGATCTTAAAGTCTTCCTGTCATTCAGGAATAACATTTCTTGCCTCAGAAGGCTCACTGGTCAACAATTTGGAGAAATCAAGGCCTTGTTCCTACTCACAGTCTGTCATTTACTAAATGCCTACTGCATGCTTTAGATGTTTATGAACTTGCTTGAAATATCACAATAACCCCCGTAAAGGCGGTGGGATGTAATCCTTTTTTACAGAAGGGAAGATGGAGGCTTATGCTGGGTGAGTGACTTGGCAAAGGTCACATGGCTGATAAACTGCAGTTTAAGTTGCTTAGACTCAACAACAGGTTACTTTCAGATCAAAAATTGTATTCTGGAAAGAACTCCAGGTGGGGAAGACTGAAAACTGAACCATTATCATTTTCCAGTGCCTCACCATCAGAGTGGAGCCAGACAGCAGCCCAGTGAATCTGTGCTCTTCCACAATCTTGTTCTGTCCCTACAGTTCTCCTTCCTAAACCATGAGACAGTCGACATACATACACACCCACTCAGGACCGCTATGTCATCTCCATCTTTAAATACTTGGCAAAATCAGATTTCAAAAGACACTTAAAAATGTATTGCAAAATGTACAGCATTTATTCACATACAGACCAAAAGGCACAAATTCTACTAAATAGTTCAACAAAAAAATACAGCTGTCCTCAACTAGTTTTATAAATACTTTCAAAAAGGGGATAGAAATAAATACAGGATTGGGCCATGTAATATAAAATAGTCATCTCTACATATACTTTGTTTAATTTCTGATTTTTTTAACTCTTCATGCACCTTTTTTTTTTCCAATTTTAGCTGAATGGACACCAAGCTAGGCACATAGTGAAAAATCCTCTGTACAAGGTTACAAATGTAATGACAAGTTTGTCCATTTCAAAATAATTAAGATTTGTACACAACACATAGAACCCTTCATTTCGATTTTGTGTTTATAACCTAACAAATGACATTCCAGGCAACTTTACAAAAGTTTAACTAGCCTACATTTTGACATAATACATTGATCATAATCAAAGATATTTCTTGGTCAGGATGCACAAGGAAAGATAAAGCTTCAAAGAAAAGAAACGAAAAAGCAGAGCGAATGGCTCGTCCTGAAGAGAGTGCAAGTGGGTGGGGTGGGTGGGTGCTGCGGACGGCCGCCTCATACAGAGGTCCCAGCAGGACGTGAACTAACTTCCAAAGCTATCATTACACTGTCAGAGAAACCGTGCTCTATACCATTTGCATTTCAAAGCAGGAATAAAAAGTGTGGGCTTTTTATTTTTGTGTTTTGTTTTTGTGTGGGTTTTTATTTTTTGTTTTGTTTTGTTTTTTTGGTTCAGCATAACTTGGAACGTTTGAAAGCTTTTCAACCTAAATGTGGGGAAAAAACAGGTAAGGCATTATTTTTGCACAAAACTAGCATTCCTAAATAGTGCAAATGAATCTGGTACCTCTTAAAATGGTGAGAGGTCATATACTTACTAAAATTTAGATTTTCTTTCTATGGCTTGACAAGATTACCCCTCTATATATTCTACTCTCACCCAGAGCTGTTGCTGTGATCAAAAGGTAACTGTAAAAAGTGTCCACCTTCTTCTGTATCCAGCAAAAAGGTTTTTGCTCATATGCAAAAAATCTGATTTTTAAATTATGCTATGAGTGAATGTACACCTTGGATTCATTAAGAAACTCCTAATATCTGTAGCAACAGCTTATCTGGACAGCAGTCTTTCAAAATGAGCCCCATAGCTCAAAAATAGTCAATCTAAAAACCTGGGTCATTCTTTCCCCTCCCCTGAATTAGCTACTAAAATGTATTCGAAAAGTTAAGACTTGGTTTGAAAATGTCATACATACAATGGGGATGCATCAGATCTACTATTTGATCATCCAATAAAACTTGCATAGCAAGATGGAATTCAATAAGCCTTTTTTGCTGTTGACAATCACCTGGAAGACTTGAAAGGTAACTACAGAACTCAAAGCATCACTCGTTAAGTATCAGAATGTCCCTGCCACATGGAAACAGATGTATAAATGAATCAGGAATCTGAATACTGGTATTAACAAACTAAGGATAATTTAGGGGAAGTTGGGCTTGTTCCAAGTGCCCATAATTCTAAATTTCATTGCTATTTAAACTTTCCTTCTCTTAAGTTTGATTCACAACTACATTGAATTCCAAAGAAAATTAACAGGACCTTAACACTATCCACTGTCTTAATACATACGCACTACAGTGAGTGCAAAAAACAGAACATTTGTACTCAAATTTAATGCTAAATTCATTATTGCTGATAACTTACTAGTTATTGCCATTTGCAATTAGAAAGTCCAAGTTACGAATTGGAGCTTAGAACTCTTGACTCCAGGAAACCTATTACACTTCAGTCTCTTTCCCATATAACCTTGGTCAAAGGTAAGAGGTTATCGCAACTTATTGCCTTTCTATTGTTTTTAAAATATAACCTATTATGCTTTTTTTTGCCTTTTTTTTTTTTTTTTTTTTTTTTTGCTTTTCCTTTTTCTTAAGGAATCCGTTCATGCTGGAAGCCCAGATTCCCCAACATATGCACTAGTGGTTGGCTCTGGGAAGTGTGTCACCAGAGTCTGGAAGTTCATCGCTTGAACTTGAATAGCCATTAGTATTGTTGGAAGCCAGATGGCCAGGTATTGCCAAAGGCCAGGGAGATCCCAAGCTGGCCCGAAAGGCAGTTGTTAGGGAGGAGGAAGGTCAAGAGGACTGGTAAAAACGGGACGAACTGCCCTTTCTCACAGAACTTTCTAACGGCTTCACTCTCCAGTCCCATACCCACAACACACTCACTCCAGTGCTTCAGGCAAGTGGGACCTTGCTACATGGACCCTAAATCTGCAAGCCGCAGCAGTTCCGCCCTGCCCCTTCAGATCTTCAAGTACTGACCTTTTTCTAAATGCGCTCTTCCCGTGTGCTGTTCTGATTTACACATGAATTCCCTAGAGTTACGGAAGCTTCAGAGCTTGCTGCCTCGGACTACAATGCAAGAAAACAGCCTTGTGGGCCCGAGCATAAATACGACTTCAACATCTGCCACAGTCCTAGAAAGTAAGTTTTATGGGCTATTAAGTGGTGCGTGAGGGTTTCTCAAGAACTGCATCTGATTCCGCATATTCAGGTAACCAAGAGTTTGTGCTTTGGGAAGAATACAGAGGGCAATACAAACTCAGGAGGCTTCCGGAAGCCTTGCCCTCTCTAAAGACTTATTTCATTCATTCTTATTGTAGTGTTTAACTCAGCCTCTAGTCTTAGTGTCTGACGGTTACAATCTACTCTTGTGTTTCCTCAACAAGTTGCAGATAACACACTTCTCACAACAATGATTTATAAAGGACTCTGGAAAAAAAAAAAACTCAATCTGACTTGCAAGTAAATGTGTTTGCGTAGCTCAGGAGTGATGGGGTTCTGCCCATCCCCCACATCAGAGCTCTGGTCTGGCAACTCCACGACAAGCCCGCCGCGCTCCCACGCCATCTCGGTTTCATCAAGAGGCCAAGATGCTTCTCCTGATAATGTCTGTCCTGCGGCTGATGGTGCTGCTGGCGTGCATACATTTCTTTTCTGATGCCTCACTCTCTGAGTCACTCATCTCTACGTCAGGGACATACCCGTCGTTCTCACTGTCAGATTTTAATTGGTTTTTTGCCCTTTCCTTGGCTGGAACTCGGCCTAAGCCCAAATAGGGGTAGTCTGAGTGCTGGTGGCAGGTGCCCTCGTGGGCCTCTCCCTGCTGCTGCCGTTCGCCCTTCTTTGGAATCCGGAATCCTCCCCAGTTTTTCACGGGGCTGGCAGGCGTTGTAGGCACTTGGACTGCAGTCTGGTTATAGTTTACTTTGACGAGGGAGCCGTTGCACTTGGGCACCAGCTCCTTCCTCGGGCCAGGCGCTGACTGCCCCGCTCCGGGGGAGGCGGCGGCTCTGGTGTTTTCCAGGTGCCTCTGGGACACGTCTGTGGACCTGAGAGGCTTGTGACTCTGTTTACAAGGTCGGTCCTTTAAGTCTCCCTTACTGAGATCACAATGAAAACGATGGTCTCTTCTGTCCCCAGGGTCTGACATCACCACCCCGTTTTTCTGCTGTGCTGATAGGAGACGTGCTTCTGCAAAGGTCTTTTCAAAACTCAAAAAGCTCTCTGGGACCACCATCCCCTCCCTTCTCGCACACAGGTCCGGCTGCTTCAGGAGGGTTTTGCCTCTACTCCCAGTGCTGTTCTGCAACGGATCTCGCTTATGGGGCTTTTTCAGCGAGTGAACCAAGGAAGTGCCCATTTGCTTCCTGAAGAACGCAGAATGCCACTTCAAGTCCTCTATCTTGGGAGCATCAGGGCCCACAGAAGGGCTGTTAAACAAAAGCATGTTTTCCAGTGAGGAGGACGAGCAGGAAGAAGGCACACCTATGAACATACAACCACAAAGGGAGAAAAATTACAGAAGCAGATCCATAAATATAAAATTCTAGGTCCTTAGCATGGCCCTGTTAATGCAAACTTCCCACCCAACAGGACTACATACAACCACCCAGTCTAAAAAAATTTATACAAAAATATTACCTGCCTTGAGAATCTGCATTCAGTCTGCAGGCTCAATTTAATATGCTCTATTTTCTAAAATAGCTGAAGCTCACCAAAGTTTTCATGAGACCTCTTTCCAAGAAAACCATTTTCCTTCAAACAAAATAAGTGATCTGATTTTCAAAGAGGAATCCACGCAGAATCCTCCTGGTCAAAAGCACTGCCTCTGCCCATGCACCTGGTTAGGCACCTGCCTCCCCGACAAGACTGAGAGCACCTCAAGGGCAGCATCTGGGGCTTTAAAGTTTCCTTCTCCAGGGGCACCTGGCTGGCATCTGACTCTTGATTTTCAGCTCGGGTCGTGATCTCTGGGTCATGGGATTGAGCCCTGCGTCGGGCTCCACGTCAGCGCGGAGTCTGCTCGAAATTCCCTCTCCCTGCCTCTGCCCCTCCCCCTTGCGTGCTCTCTTGCATTCGCGCTGTGTCTCTCAAATAAATAAATAAATGAAAATCTTTAGAGTTTCTTTTTCCAAAGTAAATATACCCCTGGGGGGCTATGATGAGGATAAATAACTAAATACATGAAATGAGAAAGAAAGGTGTTTAAAATCATTCTTGACACATAGTAAATAAATATCTTTTAAAATTATATACAAAGCCTATTTGTGGAATTAAACTCAACTGTCATCCAACGTGAGGAGAAGGTAAAATGGTGTTTTGCAAACATTTTTGCTGCAAATCACAATAACTAAATTTCACAATGTAACCCAGTAAGAGCTCACATTTCAGGGAACCATATTAGCCTTCCCCATGTGATGTGGCACTGACACGTCATTTGCTTTTAATGCTGGTGGTGACCCACCGAATTCATCTCACAACCAACTAATGAATCATAACCCTCAGTGTGAAAAACACTGAGTGAATTCATAACACACTGGAGATTATCACAAGGACCACGTTTCTGTAAGAGCCTCCAGGACATCTATAAAGAGCTGTTTTCATGTTCTGTCTCCCATAAGGTATAAACCACAAGGAAAACAAGGCTCTGCCAGGCAGGAGCCTGGACGAGACCTCCCTGCTCCACAGATGCGGACACCACACATGAACAGAGCAGAGCAAGCAGCTCCGAACACGAAAGTGCCAGTGGGTGCCACAGGGGAGGGAGTTCTACAGTCTGCTGGGCCGGG